TCTTAGGTGGTTTTGTGGGTGCTACTGAATCACAAATATTAAAATAAATATAATCAAAATTGGAGGCTTCTTGTGGGTACCAAGGCATGTCTGTGCAGATCTGATTATAGGAATGGGACCCATGTAATTAAATTCCCGAATACAAGTCTGACCCTAAGAGAACCAGAGAAACCTTAGCTCACATTGAAGTTAGTAGATATTGAGAGGATTCAGTCTCTTGTGAGATTGGTCTTTTAATTCTGCAAAGAATGGCCAAAAAACTCTCCCTAATTTTTGGGCTCTGAAAGGCTCCCCAGTTTTTGGGCTCTTAAAGAAAGGCTCACTGATAATTTAGGACCATTCAGGAATTCCAATATTTACTCTAAAACATGCTTTCAGTATCAAATACTTGAATTCCTTTAAAAAACCTTAAATTCCATTTTCTGTTTCTCCTTCATAACATCACTAGTGATATTTGAATCTGCACCTCCAGGTGTATGCAATACCTATATATTTTAGAGACTGCCCAATTAAGATATTCTGAAAGCAAGTGTGAAAAATTGGGACACTTTGATCAGATTGGAGTGTCATCTGAAGAAGTGGGCTGTGCCCATGAAAGCTCATGATACCATCTACATGTTTTGTTAATCTTTAAAGTGCTACAATACTATTTGTTGTTTTTTAAGTTTATCATGTACAGACTAACTTGGCTACCCATCTGAAACAGTAGAATTAAAACAGTGTACTTCCCAAGGATGGACAGTCATACCAGTATAAAGCGGTCTTATACCAGTGTAGCTATTCCACTACAGGGAGTGGAATAAGGTGTAAAGGCACTCTTATAAAAATAGACCTGTGTTTTCTCTAAAAGTGTGGTTAGCACACTGATTTAGAAGGCCCCTGCCAGCTGGGAACAGACAGAAGGTCCCAGCAACCAGGGAGAGACAGAAGGCTGGGGGAGAGAGAAGGCACAGGGGCAGGGAGTGGAGAGGGGGAGAAAAAGCACTGCTAGATGAGAACTCCTGTCCCGAACTCCTCCTCACCCTACAACTCTCATTCTCTCACTCCCCCAGGTCTCCAGTCTGCTACCATGACCCCCCCCTCCACATCCTCAAGGCTCTGCCCTGACTCCTGCACTTCCCACACTACCAATCCCCCCTGCCCTGAAGATCCAAGGCAATGCCAGGTAAGTCTTCTAATAATTATATAAGTACAAAGAGCTGTATGTAGGCCTTTCAATGTTAAGAAAAGCCAGATCTAAGATTGCGTGTTGAACCTTAGTGAAGTTCTAGTGGGCATATGTGTTACGATGATACAGACTCACAAGTGTGGCTTTGGGATCAATTCCCTTCCCCTCACTTCACCAGTTTTCTCCAAGCTACCAAGGGAGGTGGTGGTTTCTTCATCTCTTAAATTTCTACTAAAGAAGATTAGGTGCCTTTCTAGAGTGTGCTTTGGTCACAAATATGCTACTGAGCTATACAGGAGGCATGTGATATACAAGGTGGCTGTGTCTAGACTGGCCAGTTTTTCCAGAAAATCAGCCGCTTTTCCGGAAAAACTTGCCAGCTGTCTACACTGGCCGCTTGAATTTCCACAAAAGCACTGACGATCTCATGTAAGATTGTCAGTGTTTTTGCGGAAATACTATGCTGCTCCCGTTCCGGCAAAAGTCCTTCGGGCAAAAGGGCCAGTGTAGACAGCTCAGATTTGTTTTCCGCAAAAAAGCCCCGATCGTGAAAAGCGCGTCTAGATTGGCACGGACGCTTTTCCGCAAAAAGTGCTTTTGCGGAAAAGCGTCCATGCCAATCTAGACGGTCTGTTTCGAAAATGCTTTTAATGGAAAACTTTTCCGTTAAAAGCATTTCCGGAAAATCATGCCAGTCTAGACGTAGCCAGTGTGTGTATGTGTATGTGAGAGATTAGATGATCTAATAGTTTCTTCAGGCCTGAGAGTCTACAATCTTGTAAGAAACTGAGTGTGTTATATTGAGCAGCCTCTGATGTCTTCATGTGTATCCTGCTTGATCCCCAGAACTAACAGGTGAGTGGGGTGACACAGGAGAGACAGCTTTGATATCCCAAATGGGCTAGCCAGGGGCAGGACATTAGCCCTGCAGGGCAGGGGTGGGAGAGGAAGTGACATCATAAGGACCTTTGGCTGGACCTCAGCTTATTGGTCAAAGGAGGTTGGAAAGTGGTGACATCACAGAGAGACCTAAAAACTGCCAGCCAGTACAGACCACAGGCAGGGGAACTATCAGAATGGCTCCTTTTTTATGTCCCTCCTATGGCTTTGGTGAAGGGAGGCTGGTTCTTGAGGTCTCTCCTTGACTTAGAGAGCATTCAGGTTCACATATATGAGCATGAGGAAGAGCCTATTTGGACTTTTCCACTCTCCCAATACAAATTTCTCTAGACAACAGATGTCCCTTTTGAGAAAGGAAGAACCTTAGAGAGATTTGGTATCTATTCAGTCTGATCTGTCTGGTGCTGGCCAAATTATAAGCACAGAAAAGAATAGTTTAAGGTGGCACACTTTTTTCCTCACCTAATCCTTTGTCCATAGAAGCACTGAGGACACTGAAGTTTTACTTTTAAAGTTTCCCTGCTCTTCTCCCTTTACTGGGTTGCTATCTTCAGCCCTCAGTGTGGCATGCCCACAGAGAGAAATGGGAATAGGCAAGTGCTCTGACTGTGATCCCACTGGTGACCTGAGCTATTGTTTGGGCCATCTGGAGAGTCAACACACTAGTCGACTAGTCGCTTCCCTCCTCCTTGCTGCTTTTATTGGCTTTTCTCTTTGGCTCTGCCATCATCTTGCTATGTGACCTGAGGTAGATCATTGCCGTTTCACGTACTACAGGGTCTCAATCTGTCAAATGGGAAGAGGGACACTTCTCTAACTGCTAGCAGTGGTGTGGAGGAGAACGGGTTGTTTTGAGGTGTTGAGCTCCAAGGCATTTTAAAATGTGCTAAAATGTCTTTTCTAGAGAAACAAGAAATTGCCAGGGACAAATTTTAACTACTGGTTCCTGACTCATTTTTAGTGACCTTAACAAGCCAGATGCTGTACACCTTTTCTGAGATGCTAGAAAGAGTATCTTCATAATATTAGCAAGATAGTGCCTATATTTAGAAACAGGAGCAGACTAGTCACTCACTTTGATACCTGGGAAGATACTGGAACAAATTATTACACTTGTAAGCCCCTAAGTTTACCATTATTGCAAAATATTTGCTTGAAACCACCTATATGTAAGGACTAGTAAGTATTGATTTTTCAAGAACAAATAATACAAAATCAACCCCATTTCCTTTGTTAGAGTAACTCACCTAACGGATGCATGAAAGCAATTGACATATCTTGGTGTTAATAAGGCTTTTGACACAGTCCCACATGACAGTCTCAGTGTAAGGTCTGAATGAATTCTCCTGGAAAGACTTCAAGACCAAACTGTGTGTACATGAACAGATCTGCTGTGCTTAGATATCCAGCAGATAGAGTGGTATTGCTCAAAATAGTCAACTTCACTCCAGAAGATTGGAGCAGCACCTGTCCACAGTGGGCCCCTGCAGGTCTCAAGCAGCTCCATGCCTCCGACAGGCAGGAAGCTGCCCCAGTGCCCATTGATTAAGTTAACCAGAATCAATAAGCATCACCCATTAATACTGAGACTAACTCCAGCTGGGTGATGGAACCCCTGCCAAAATCTGCCAGCTTCTCTGAGGTCAATCCCGGTTGATGAGCCTTTTTCTGTCCTTTCCCTCCCCCAAATTAGGATCAGATCCTCCCAATGACACATGAAGGACACTCTATCCACTGGAGGAAGCCTTCTATTCTGTTGAGCTAGGGATGCAGCGAGAGCTCCCCCAATGTGTAACCACCAATAGGAATGGGAGTATACAGGCATTGAAATGTGAAACCTGATATCTTTTTCTGTCCTCCAGGATTGGCAATACATAACGCTGAAGGCATGATGCTGGGATTGGCATCAAGACAGCAGACAACAGAAATGCAGCTGGGAAGGGGGTAGATAAGGATTTTTCTGCCAGAGAACTACACAGCTCAGGGTGTGGAACTGGCTGGATGTTCTTGCATCCTGGAAAATTACTGGACAAGATCCTGCAACTTATTTTTGGTTCATAGACTTACTTGTTCAGCCCAGTGTGAGAAGATGCTGTAATAAATCCTGGATAGGAGCCAGGCTAATGATTATGGTTATGTATGTTCCATGGATATATTGCTATGTGTCAAGAAAACAATCACCAGATGAAACAACTCTGACTATTTTTTCCTTCTCTTTCCTATACCCTCTCTTTCACGGCTATTTATTTGTACTCTGGACCCCTTAACTCCATTCATCAGAATAAGTGGATTGTGTCCATGAAGACTCATGATACCATCTACAATTTTTCTTTGTCTTTAAGGTGCTGCAGGACTATTAGTTGATTTTTAAGTTTTTTTCAGTTACAGATGAACATGGCTACAACCTCTGACTCCTCAAATGGAATGTTTCTCTGCAGATCCAGTTCCCGTCCCTGCTCTCTGGCTGACAAGTGTCTGAGAGGGGAGCCACTGGATTGGTGAGTGGGCAGGACACACCCAGCTATTGCCTGAGCAGTGCCTTGTTGGTTCCCAGAAAGAGGGGTGAGCGTGTGCTCCGTTCCACCACTAGCCAGAAAGCAGAAAACGCCCCCTCTGCCCACAGGGCAGTATTGTCTGCGTGGTGAGGTCACATGGTCCTTGTCATGCTGCCGTTTGGATCCCCTGGGAACCCCCGGCTGAGCCGGAGTCGCCTGGCCCAGTTACTGGAGAAGTCGCTAGGAGAGGGGAGGGGAGGAGACCGTTGTCCTGTCAGCGCCAGACGCCCCGCGTGGCTCGTTTCAGGCAGTCGCTCTGCCGGAGGCAACAGCAGGTCTCCGCTCGCTCCTGAGAGCTGCACTCCAGAGCACGCTGCTCAGCCGCACAGACACAGGCCCCTGCCGGGAAGCCCCCTCCAGAAAGCGCCCCGCTTTTGTCCCGCAGCGTCGGCGGCAGCGTCCTCAGCTCCAGCCCTGGGAGCCCGGTCACCTACCGGCGCCTCTTCTGTTCCTTCCAGCTCCTGGGAAACAGCGCCCCAGGGGGACGGCGAGGACCCGCGACTCCGCCACCTGCGGCCAGCGGTAGGCGCAACATGGCGCCCCCGGCGCCGAAAGCCCGGACGGGCAAACGCCAGCCCGCGTAGAGCCGCCCGGCCCCGCCCTGCCTGTGACGCTCCCGCCGGAAGTACCGGCAGCGGGCGCGCGGCCTCGACTCTTCTCTAAGATGGCGGCGGCGCTGGCCGCAGGTTGCTTGGCGGCCCGACGGCTCCTATGGGCTTGGCCTGGCCGCCGCCTTGTGCGAGGCTCCGCGCCAGCAGGCCGGGTGAGTGACCAGGGTCGAGGTGCTCGGGGGGAGAGGGGCGCTGTGTAGCCTCCCAACGCTTTGGCCGGGCCACAAGGTGCCGGCAATTAAAGGGCGACGGGCCCCCTTCCGCGCGGTGCACGCTGGGAGCTGTAGTCTCAGCGCTGTCCGGCTGTCACGTGGCCGCTCTGCACGCTGGGAGCTGTAGTCTCAGGTAAGTCATGGGGCCCTTCTGCCTGCTGAGATCTGTAGACGCTGTTTCCAAGGACTTGTCTGTCTGGGATCTTTGGCAAGCGAGTGGCTCTGCACTTGTGGGTTGATTGGCTGGAGGTGGAACAGCCTGCTGGGTTCTGTAGTTTTCATGGGGTGGCTGAGCCGTGGCCTCTGTGGGCTCCTTGGATAAAGTATGGATCTGTGCAGATTTAGGAGCTGTAGATATTGGCCTTTCTGGGACCAGTCCCTGGCTCCTTACTCAGAATCATTTAATGCTTTTACTATTATCCCCATCTTGCACAAAGGGAACTGAGCCACAAAAAGACTTAAGTGGCTTAAGCCGAACCCAGGTTTTTCACAGCAAGGCTGGTGCTCTAACCATTGCATTAAGAAGAGGTCAAATCCAGACTTGTCCATTTTATGCCCCCTTTATGCCTCCTTTCTGGGCAGAGCTGGTGCATGTCTTAGGGGAAGAAGAACAATGGCCACCAAATCAATGCTTATTTCACAAAACAAAAATATTTCCTTTCCTGATAGGCATCATAGGATGGAACCTGCAATTTGTAACTAATGACTTTTCTTTACAGTTCATACATCTTGGGACAAGCAGATTAAGAGCTACGAAGGCAGCAACACAAATAGTCTTAAATGTTCCTGAGACTAAAGTATCATCTCTGGAAAATGGCCTAAGAGTAGCTTCTGAAGATTCTGGACTCTCAACATGCACAGTAGGTAACTTGTGAATTATTTTTTTCTTTACTATATGCACACATTTTCATTATATTGTGAAATTAGATTTACTAGTTTCATTAAGAGTATTTAGCAGAAATAGTGCAGAAATAGTTAATTGTAAATAATAAACACACGTTTGTGTGAAGGTGGAGCTAAGCTTTACAAAAGTGACCAATGATTTTGGATGCCAAAATTGATTACACTGTAAAAGTCTGATATTGCAGAGTGTAGGTGCTCAGCACTTTCTGAAAATTGGGCCTCTTTAAGTGCAAATTAATTTACCCCCAAATTGAGGCACCCTATTCACTAGGCACTTTCAAAAAAAATCCATGTTATAGTGTATTAATAAACAGTAAAATCTTAGCTTAAGAAAGACCCCCCACAAAATGATGCCAATGCTATCTTTTATTAGATAGTAAGATTAATATTTGTTTTTAATAAGGTTGGTCTTTGGATTGATGCTGGAAGCAGGTATGAAAATGAGAAGAATAATGGAACAGCTCACTTTCTGGAGCATATGGCTTTCAAGGTTAGTATTAAAACTAGTTTTCAAATGTTATTAAAATTGTTTACTGATTTTCAGGGATAACTATGGAGACTTCTTACGACTGGTTTCAGTCTGTCACTTCTCAAAAAAACAAGGAAAGCAAAAGCAATTTGGACATTTTTGTCCAGAATAATAATAATAATAATATTAAAAGGATTAAATCCGTTCCTCATTGAAGTCAATGGGTTGCTGTTGACTTCAGTGGAGCCAGGATTTCATGTCAGACCTGTATGGGTTCATCTGTAAACTTGCATGTGCCGTTATAGCCTTGACCGAAAGAAGAATTTCACATTCTATCCAGTTGAAACAAAAACCCAAAAATGGTTGACTGGGATTATAGAACGATAGATTTATTAGTTTAAAGAATTAGTTCCGCATGTTATGTCAGATTTTAAAATTAACAATTGAGTGCTTCCTGAAGTGCAGTCAAAACAACACAGGTCTGAGTCAAGTGTTATGCAACCTTCCTTCCATATTTCTGCCACTATGTTTAAATCCTGAATTGATCCACTCCTGTTGATACCTTAAATTGGTAAGTATGATTCATGCTGAATTTAACTAATCTTTGCAAGAGACAAATAGGCCCTCTGTTTTCAAGTTAATTGTCATTTAATCTGTGCAGGCATGAAACTTTCAGGGGTAGCTCATCACCTAATAAACTATCTTGTTAGTCTTTAAAGTACTACATGACTGCTTTTTTTTGTTTTACCAAGATCAGACTAACACAGTTACCTCTCTGACTGTAAAAACTTAAAAAATAATGAATAGTCTTACAGCACCTTAGAGACTAACAAAAAATGTAGATGGTATCATGAGCTTTCGTGGGCACAACCCACTTCTTTTTCCAGTGGGGAAGACTGGTGTGCTAGCTTTCTGCTCCCCAAAATCATTTGTTTTTCTTGAGCTCAAATCAGCTACTTAAAAAAAAAAAAATAAAAAAAAAAACCTTACTATTCCCCATTTGTAAAAGCTACTTTGTTGGTAGATATGTTCCAGAGTTCAAGTAAACTTTTTTCCTTTTAATTTCAGGGGACAAAAAAGAGGTCTCAGTTAGACCTGGAGCTAGAGATTGAAAACATGGGAGCTCATCTTAATGCCTACACATCCAGAGAACAAACTGTGTATTATGCAAAGGCTTTCTCAAAGGATTTACCAAGAGGTAACTGCTTCTGTTCTGGAGCATCCTTCCTAAAGATTAAAAGATTGTGAGGAGGGGAACAAGGAATGAAATGAGCTGACAAGCCTCTAAAGAAGCAAAAGTGGGAAAACAATGCCTCTGCAGTGTTTTCCCCCTCTCCCTTCCTTGGCAGGCCTTCTGCTGGTACTCCATGGGGATAAGGCTTAGCAGGGTTGGAAAGGCGCATGTCAGCATTGTGGCTCATGCTTGGCACCCCTCCTAGGGACCAAGTAGCTCTCCTTTGGGGTTAAAGATGTGAAATATTAACCCCTCTGCAAATCTCCAAGAGATGCAGGTTTGTAAACCATGTTACCTGGCCCTGCTTTGGCTCCCCTGTCCTCCGGAGGGAACTTTTTTCAAATTCTAAAATGAATCTTCCTATGTATCCCGGTCATTCTTACCCCTCTAGTGTGTTTGACCTTGGAAAGATATGATAGGGTCCTGAATATTTGTACTGTGGTTAACTTAAGGTGTTTGTCTAGTTCTGGTATGTCTATGTAAGTGAATTGTCTTCCTCCATAATGTTCATCTGAAATAAAACAATTCTCATCAAGGAATTGTCAATATGAAGCTTTAGAAATCCCTAAAGGACACACATTCTCTCCAAGAAGGACATTAACAATTTTTCTAAAACAAACATTACAAAAGAAACTTAACACTGTGTAAAAGTTTACTTTCAATTTCTTGTTAGATCTTTCTTCCTATATTCCATGCTAACAGTTCTGCCTACTTGTAATAGGTATTTGAGTTGCTTATTTGATTATAGTATAGTCAGATGAAGGTTCCACTGTTGCTGAAGCACACTTGCCTCCTATCTCTTTGTGTTTTCAACTAGCTGTGGAGATTCTTGCTGATATCATACAGAATAGTACACTGGGAGAAGCAGAAATTGAGCGCGAGCGAGGAGTTATCCTTCGAGAGATGCAGGAAGTTGAAACCAATTTGCAGGAAGTTGTCTTTGATTATCTTCATGCCACGGCCTATCAGAACACCACACTGGGATGTACAATCTTAGGACCCACAGAAAACATCAAGTAAATCCAGCTTCTATTTTTCCTTTGTCTTAATGGTTATTTTTCAGTACCTGAAAACTATACTTAAAGATAAATGGAACAATTCTGTTCTCTTTATGCCCTATCAAGTGTTTGGGGTTGCAGAGGGTGGAATTTCCCCTGAACGTATTCCTCAATCTTGCATGTTTGTAATAGTGTCCAAAAGTGAAACTTTTATGTATGTTAGAACTCGTCTACACTTAAAACGTTAAATTGGCTTAGCTACCTCGCTTCAGTGTAGACACTGCCTATGCTGACAGGAGCTGTAGTCATTTTTTCTTTACCATTACAGATCCATAAATCGCAATGACTTGGTGGAATACATAACAACACATTATAAAGGACCCCGGATAGTGCTGGCTGCTGCTGGAGGTTCGTATGAAATATGCATCATGACAAACACTTGGAAATAAGTTGAAAAAACACAGTACTCTTAATTTTGTTGAGATTGTACAAAGATGAGACATAGAATATGACTTATCTATTGTTAGCCCTCAAAGTTCTGTATATATTTTTTCTACCTTGTCTTGCATCTCATCTGTTACGTTTTTCCCCAAGAAATTTTCTAGGGACATCCTTAAATATATCTTTTAGGAAAGGAGGGTGCTTAGCTTCCAACTGAGAGGCTGTTCCAAGTGTAAGAGGACAATGTGATCCTACAAAGCCATAAATGCAGGAAAGAGAGCATTCAGAATGGAAGGGAGAAAAGAAAACAGAAAGGTGGAGTGAGATTGTGTAGGACTTTTGAAATTGAGAACAAAGAACTTGTACATGCTGCTGTATAAGAGAGAAGGAGGTTGATAGAAAAGGATGAAGATTTTAACAATGGCATTTAATGAAGTAGAATGGGTGGGATCAGAAATGTACAGTAATGAAGTTGGGAGAGAAACATGGGTTATGGATTGTTGTCATTCTAGTAGCTTGGTTGAAACTTTTTAAATTTATGTGAAGTGAATTTATCATGGAAATTTTTTTTTTAAACTGCTTTATATGAAACTCTCTTGTTCAGGAGTCTCTCATGATGAATTGCTTGATTTAGCAAATTATCATTTTGGTAACTTGCCGTCTGCTCAGGAAGGAATGCCAACCTTGCCCCCTTGCAAATTCACAGGTAGTGAGGTAAGCAGTGAGAATGTGTTTTGTCTTTTCAGGTTAATCAGATCAACAAAAAACACTGAGTAATGGTTGATATTAAAGGGTTGTCTGGTGTGATCAGAGTTTCTAGCTTGATTTTCAAAGCTGCTAAGCTCCTATCACTCCTATTAAGTTAATAGGATCTGCTGATGTTCACCATTCTGGAAAATCAGCCTGTTTAACTGACACGTTTCTGGGAAAGGGTTTTTAAAGGTTACAGTGGAACTCAAGACTCTTGGGTTCTGTTCCCAGCTCTGTCCTGACTGACAAATCACTTAGCTGTCTTATGTCTTCATTTAATCATCTGAAAAATAACTATTATGACGACTTCCTTACACATAGCACTAGGTTGACTCATACAGAAGTCACTAGGTAAGAGTATAATAAAGATTTTTGCACTTTGACCTAGATTTTATTTGAAATTTCCTAGTTTCCTTCATTTGAATAAATGTACACACTACAGTATATTTGCTGCAATACATTTGTAGTTAATATTTTTCTGATGCTTTATCAGATTCGTATAAGAGATGACAAAATGCCTTTGGCACACATCGCAATCGCTGTTGAAGCAGTTGGCTGGTCTCACCCAGATACAATTCCCCTTATGGTAGCAAATACTCTGATAGGCAACTGGGACCGTTCTTTTGGAGGAGGAGTGGTGAGTGAACTTGATTATAAGATGTTTAATTTGGTTATGTGCCAGCATCCTTCCACCTCACAAATTCCAACTTGCCTGGGGTGAAATTCAGTTATCTAGGTATTTCTCTCAGCATTTAAAAATAATTAAAATATAGCCCAATAGACACTGAATGCATTCTGTTGCCATGTGAGAATTGGGTGCACATGTATTTGAAGAATGGCATGCTGAGCCACCAAAGTGGAGGAGTCCTCATACAGCCTAGCAACCTATGGTGAAAAAAAGTTGGAGAAAACTGAATAGGCTCCGAAGGGGTGTGCAATGAGTAGTTTAGTGCCTGTTCCCTCTTGGAATCTTTCTATTTTTTTTCATATTTAAAAAAAAACAAACAACCCTTTGCCATTTACAGGGCTCAACAAACTATGTAATCACAACCTGGAAGAGCTGGGTTTGGGCAATCTGCGCATCCGCAGATCGCTGGACAGCACAGCTCAGCGAGCCCTGGCCATTTAAAATGGACAAGTTCAGGCTGTCACTCAGAGGGTGAGATTATGTGCAGGAAAAGAAGTTGTCTATCCTATACAAAAGCATCCTGGTGTATTGTCATAGCAGTACTGCTGGCTGTGGAGGAAGCTACTTGATCTGCCACACCTGAAATAGCAAAGGGTGAACTTGGTAGTGGGAAAAGATATTTTCAAAACCCCAAATCCTGAAATTCTAAAACACATCTTGTGTCAACAGAATTTATCCAGCAAGCTTGCCCAGATCACTTGCCATGGCAACCTGTGTCATAGCTTCCAATCTTTCAACACTTGTTATACTGATACTGGCTTGTGGGGGCTCTACATGGTTTGTGAACCATCCACTGTACAGGACATGATGCACTTTGTTCAGAGAGAATGGTAAGAAAACACAGGTTTCTCAAAGTAGTTTGTTTTGGGTTAAACCTTGGCTATTTAAAAAGTAGTGTTCTGGGTTTGTTTCATAGCACAACTTTGTTGGGAAAGAACAAGTAGACTAAATTCAGAAGCTTGTGACATTTGTTCCTAAGAAGCCAGTTTCTCCCACCCTTGCTATATCTTGCACTGGAAGTAGCTTGAATGAAACCAAGGGGCTTGCTTGAAGAATAAGGTTGTACTTGGCAAGAGTAAGGCTATGTCTACACTGGCAGCTTCTTGTGCAAGAACTCTTTTGCAGAAGAGTTCTTGTGCAAAAAGTCTTCCACAGGAGTGCATCTGCACTGGCATGTGCTTTTGCGCAAGAGCATCCTGGCAGGGTAGATGCTCTCTTGCGCGAGAAAGCTCTGATTTGCCATTTTAACCATAGGGGCTTCTTGCGCAAGAAATTCATGTTGCCTGTCTACACTGGCCTCTTCTGCAAGAGCTCTTGCGCAAGAGGGCTTCTTCCTGGGAGGGAGCGTCAGAGTTCCTGCGCAAGAAGCCCTAATTTTCTACAGTACAATATCAGTTTACTTGCGTAAGAACGCACGGCCAGTGTAGACAGGCGGCATGTTTTTGCGCAAGAGAGGCTGTTTTCGTGCAAGAACACACCAGTGTAGACACAGCCTAAGAGGGGCAAAATCTGGTGCAAAACATCAGTAATAGCCATTTCATTTAAAAACTAAGCTGTCTGGCAGGAGGAGAGATCAGAAGGGTTATGTGACATTCTGTGGCGTAAGATGCAAGTTAAGTAAGGTCCATTGCATTTTATCTAACTTTAACTGTGTGCTGTCAGTTGGAGGGTATATAGACCTGCTTGGCTTTAGTTTACATTTTCAGAGAAGCACACATTCAGTTACACTTAACTTACAAACACAGTAACTGCATAGATGATTAGATGAACAAGCTAATGACCTATTACACATCATCTAGCACTTACATTTCACCATCGTCACTATGTATGAACTTCACTGTAGTATGAAGTCACTATGATATTTTAGTTTATATTGACTCTAATGCTTTTTATGTAGCCTCTTGTAAAACTAGGAAAGTTTCTAGATGAGTTGATGTGCCCCCAGTTAGATCTGTGAACCCCAAGAGCTACATCCACCCCTGGTTACGAACCACTGCCCTAGTGAAATACTTTGGAAAAGCTGTATCACTGAGATGTTTAGAACTAAGTCACATGACTTTCTCAATTTTCCTGTGAAGACTTTCAGCTAAGTAGCTTGGGCCATTAGAGAGCTTCCTCAGATTAAAAGGTAAATGTTATTTCAATCTTACATCTCTAATTGTCCATATAGATATGCTGGGACTGCCACCAACCATTGTTCTCTCTAACCTGTGCAGCAGCACAGCTTCACAGGCGATTAATCAGCCCCACCTTGTCAGGGAGCTCCAAGCCTCTGACTGGGCAGGATTGATGAATCACCTATGAAGCTGTGTTGCTGCGCAGCTTAGAGGGAAAACTGCCACCAACTCTGCTCTTTAGAAATGACATTCTAGTATTAGTGTATTAATATGCCTGGTATCTTAGCACTATACATATACAATACAGCACCCTATATCAAATAATTACTACCATTCTTGCTTGAACTAGTAACACTTTCTGTTGGTCCTTCAAACTGTATTTCAGGATACGACTCTGCACAAGTGTTACTGAAAGTGAAGTAGCTCGAGCCAAGAACCTTTTAAAAACAAATATGCTATTACAGCTTGATGGTAAGGTTAAAATTGGGATTTAAATTTTAACATGTTGATTAGGGATGTTAACTGCTTACAGGGGGGGAAGCTGCTCCAGAGGCGCACTGCTCTGGCCAGGCCAGGCCCACTGCAGGTCAGGACTGCTTTGTGCTAGAGTGCCACAGACATGGGCTGCTACACCCTCACTGGAGCAGCCCCTGTCCAAGGCAGAAGGGGGCTGCAACATCCCCCACCAGTTAGCCATTCATATCCCTATATGTTAATAACTAAAGTATTTTTTGCCTTTTCTTAGGGTCCACCCCCATCTGTGAAGACATTGGGAGACAGATGTTGTGTTACAATCGCAGAATTCCAATTCCTGAACTTGAAGCAAGAATTGAAGTAAGCAGTACATATGTTGTGTATTTTTAAATGAACGTTAATGTAGCAGCTAGCAACTTAGCTGCATAGAACAGGGGTGACCAAACAGCAGCTTGTGAGCCTGGTGTGCCTCCTTTAAAGTGTGGTTTATGGAGCTTCTTGAAATTAACTGTGGTGCCATTTTATAATTCAACTGTGGGCTCTCAGTAGGGATTTTAGAGAGCAGTTGTACTCTTGCCCCCCATCCTCCCTGCTGCTATGTATGAAGGGCAGCAAGGGGGGGAGAAATGGAGATGGTGCTGGGGAGAGGGGAGCTGGCTTAAAAGCCAGTGGGTCTCTTCCTCTCCCCACCCCCTTGTGTGTGTGACTCTTAACTACTTTTAAAATTCTGAGCTGCAGTACATGTGGCTCCTGGAGCTCTGCAGAGCAGTTCTTATCGACTAATTGTGTAGCTGATACAAATTATATTGATTACAAGATTAGCTAGATAACTGCAATTTAACACCCTTAGCTCTCAGTATTTTCTTTCACAGAGTCTATTATTATTACCTCTCAAAACATTTTTCAGGCTATTGATGCCCAGAGCATAAGAGAGATTTGCACAAAGTACATTTATGATAAGAGCCCTGCCATCGCTGCTGTGGGTAAGCTTATTCCCTTTATCATAAGCAGCTGAAGCGTAAATGGAAATCTCGACTGACTTTTTTCTTTTTAATTTCCAGGTCCGATTGAACAACTTCCAGATTATAACAGAATCCGTAGTGGCATGTACTGGCTACGTGCTTAGGAACACAGCTGCTTTAGAAACCTGGTATCTTCATTAAAACACTTGTCACAAGGCAGAGACAAATTTGACTTTTTCCCTCAAACCCAAATTCAGTACAAAAGCCCTACTGTGGGAAACATTCAAGTGTCCAAAAATTACATAAATGTCACTTGAGACATCATATTGATAGTTAATTTCATTTACGCAACTGGCAAGCAACAAGGTCCGACCATTGTCCTTACCCTTGTTGTGTGTGCAGAAACTAGATTTATTCATGTGTGTGACATTTTGAAATTTCTATATTTGTTGAAAGAAGAAAACGTACAGTATTTGCATTTTATTATAAAACGGAACACAACAAAGATTGTCATTGAGTCTTACTTCTTTGCTTTAGCAGCATTCAACACTTGTTCTTGAGCAGCTTTCTTTGCTTTTACCATTTCAACAAGTTCCTGCAGAAGAAGAGAAAAGAAACAAATTTGTGTATTTAACCAATTAAATTGTCAGATGATTAATCATAGGGCAACTTAACTCTTAACTAAAACAATACCTTGGGTGGTCAAGGGCCTGCTTTTGGAAAATACAGGTATCCATTCGTGTGGATAATTCTTGAAAAGCAGAGGCTAAATACCCAAAAAGCCAAAATAACATGACTAGTGGTGCTCTTTCCTAGCAATTCTACAGCTCAAATTAACTCCTTGTTTTCAGTAATGTGTTAAGTGTCCTGTTTATTAATTGTAACTTGTACCAATTTTCAAGTGTCACCAAGCTCCATTTTAAAGAAAGGTTAGTGGAGGGGGGTCTGAGGACAGTGCTGCACTAAAGTTAAGTCAAACCAGCTATGTTTCAGGGGAGTGAAAAATCCACATTCCTGAATGAGGTATGATCCAACCTAAGTCTCCCCCGACAGTACTAGGTCAGCACGAGAGTACTTCCATCTACTTAGATATAGCAACAGAACCCATCGCATTTATGTAATAAGTCCCAATGCTGAAGCATTGCAGCTTAAGTTCAATACAGGCTATAGGAGATCACTTAACATGAAGTCATCAGTGAAGAGTTAGCATGCAGTAAGATGTCACAGATATAACACCACACCATAAAAATGTAATGTCTTAACTGCCCACTTAATTTTAAACAGTCTCCTTCACATATATAAACTCCTTGCTTCACGATCTATGATAACTAGAATTTGGAATAATGTAGTACTTTCCCCAGACCTGAATGTATGCTCTGTGAAACTCAAAAGCTTATCCCTCCCTCTAACAGAAGTTGGTCCAATAAAAACAATCTTATGTTTTTCCCATATCCTGGAACCAACCTTAGATTTTCCCACTTGTTTTTTTTTCTAAGGGAAGAGCAGCACTGGCAGAGACACACACCAAATATTGCTGTAGGCTAACCACATAATCCTAGGATGAGCACAAACAGTATTTCCTACCTTATAGCGCTTCATGCAGTCTTTTTTTGAGCGGCCTGGAACAGCAGCTGCTATTTTTTCCCACCTTTCAGGAGTATTTACTGGATATGTCTTCAAAGCCTGCTCTAAAAGTTTTTGCTCTTCTGTAGTCCAAGGGGATGAATCTGTGCATGCCCCTGTTATTAAAAAAATTGATAAATGAGAATAGTGATGAAATATTAAATAGTTAGTTCAAAACCCCTCTCATAAAAATTTTGTTCCTGCAGTGGGATGAGTAAGTGAGAATGTTGCTAAGAAATTGATATTCCCAGGAAACTTGTGTCTGAACAACTGGAGAAGCCTCTATTTGCTTCCTTTTTCATTTCAGTAAGGAAGCAAATTATCTCCTCCTAGGAATATGCCGCTAGGGAAGGAAGTGCCCAGGGCAGATACTGGAGTTCTGTGCAAGCCAAGTTCATCTTTGGAAAGGGCCCATACCTGCTCTGCCCCTGTAGTGGATCTCCTGAACCCCACAGTTCCTGACAGTGTGGCTTTATTGGCTGGGGTTGCTTCTGGGGAAATGAGAAGGATCTATAGGAGAGATAAGAGAGCCCCCCAAATCTGCATTAAATCTGACAGCTGCCACACATGGATAAGTGTCCTGGGCCAACATGTTCTTTGACCATATTCTGCACTCACTGAAGTATGCACATGCGGTCAGCTCCTACAGACATCCAAAGGCAGAATTTGGGCCACTAACTTTTTATTAAACATAACTATAGGCATGTGAATGGCTGAAAATAGTTCTTAGAGCCTTACCTTCAAATCGCTCTGACGGTGCAGCACTGTCTGTCTGAGGTACCACGCCATGTTCTTTTTTAAACTTATCAAAGGCTTTCTTGTTTATGTCGTCCTTTTGATGTGGGTCTGAGGACAATACAGATTCATTTAGTTGACAAAACCAGAGACCACAACAGGAAGTTTAAAAAAAATGTGGCGCCTAACATCAGATTAGCCTAAATCTAGCATTCAAATATTTTCAGCATGAATGTAATGTTTCATTTCAAAGGTTAGCAATAAGGGTTGTTAATGAAAACTAGGTGAGATTGAAGCTTTTGGATACCATTGTTTGGGATCAATATCAGAACATAGAACATCAGACTATGATCATCATAAAAGATGTTTTTCAGGTCACTTGGGGTCTGATCCTGCAATCCTAATCCCACTTGGCTACAGTGAAACTAAGTATATAAGTGTTCCCAGGAGCCATGACTGGAGGATGAGGCTCTCAATCTGTAATCCGGATATTATCCCTCATTTGAAGTCCCTTTCTTGTCCCACCAAGTGACTTGATATAAAGTGATTGAGAAACTGCTTTAAAATGCACTCTGTCTCTAGTGGAATATTGAGCTAGAAGAAAGGAAAGTACTGGTGTTAAGTTTTTATTTTCAGTAATGATCATTGTCTTAAACTGAACTACTCTTCAACAACACAGTACAGTGGGTCAACAGTTATATAAGGCCTGTTTGTATTTCATGGTAAAATCTCTTAGCATAGCAGCACTGATCTGAAATTCATCTTGACAAGGATGATTTCCACTCAGAACGAGCTAAGGCAAGTAAGTGATTGTGCTAATAAGGGCATTTTACTTCCCCTTTCTGCTTTCACTCACTGAAGATGGAAACTGTTTCCATTAATGGACAAAGATTTTTTGTTCTGCATTTAAATAAAAATAACTTATTACATAAATAATATAGAAGCACGCAGACCATCTTACAAAGATAATAAAGATACCAAATTTCTGGAGGCTCTTTGCTTTATTGATGACATCTTTTGCTGTTCGTTTTATTCCAGTAGTAGAATGCAAGTTCATATAATTGGCAATAACTTCCCACCTACAGCAAGAATGGAAAACAAACAATGCAAAATAGCATATGGTAGGCTAGCCCTGAGAGAGATTTAATTGCCTAGCAAGTCTGTACTCAAATTATAGCAAAGACTATGCTTACAAAAGCATGTCTATAATCCTTTAGAAACAAAGCATATTTAAACTCCACAGTAAATGGAGTGAGGGACTTTTTTTACATTGCAGTGAAGTTGGGTTTGGGGATGTTAAATTGCATTTAATCAACTAATCAACTAGTCTATGGAATTTTCATTGACTAAGTTGAAAAGCGGTGGAAACTGCAGAGCCACAGCGGGGGTTAGTCCTGGCTCCAGGAGCTAACATCGCTGCAACTCAGCCTTTTAAATGTATGGGGGAGGACCAAGCGTGAGCTGGGACAGCTAATTCCTGGCTCGTGCCTGGTTCCCCTCACTGCTTCTGCTTTTTAAGTGTAGTAAGAGTCTGCCAGGTTGGGCCCAATCACCCGCTATGCCTCTGCCTCCCCTGCTTCCCTAGCACAGGCTCCTGCTCCCCACCTTTTTGCATAGGAGAGGGAGAAACCACTAGTCAAAGGACTAGTCGACTATCTGATAAGCTTATGCTTATCAGTCGACTAGTCGCTTACATCCCTAGTTGGGTTAGTCTCTTAGGGCATGTCTACACTACAGAGAAGATTGACTCTGGAGATTGATCTTCTAGTGTTCGATTTAGCAGGTCTAGCGTAGACCCCAGAATTCAACACTAAAGGCAGCCCTTGCCAGCAGCTGGTACTCCTTGATCTGGGAGGAATAAGGTAGGCTGATGAGAGTGCATGTTCCCATTGGCCTCTTACAGTGTAGACACTTCGGTGGCTCAGTTTAAGATATGCCAAATCCACCTACACATTTTGTGTAGTGATGGCGTATCTTAAACTGACCTGCCTGGTCTAGTGTAGACCAGATCTTACTGACTCTCTGCCCTGCACTGTGCTCCAGATGTGTGCGCACCTGTTCAGTGATCCGTTGACTTCCTTGCAGGATTGGAGCCCAAGCTTGAAGTACCACTCCCCTCAAAGGCTTCTGCCTAACCCTCTCCCGAAGCAAAGTGATATAGGTAGAGAAAAGATAAAATGAAGGGATTCTCTACAAGCTATGTGGCAGGATGTTCTGAAGTCTCACAAGTTGGAAAATGTTACTAAAAAAATAAATTTTGTCTTTTCATTTAAAAGATGAAAAAATACCTTGAGTTAGTCCCGGCAGGGAAGAGGTTCACAGCTTTAATCAATAACTGTAAATCATCTTCTGACCAGTTTTTACTTCCACCTCCACTACCACTCGTTGACTTCTCTGAACTCTTTGTGGCCTGGCGCAAACGAGCCTCTGCTTCTTCTCTTTCTCGCTTGATCTGTTCATTTATTTCTTCTATCTATGTAAATAAAAATGCGCAGCAATTCATTTTAACATTTTCTTCCACAAATCCAAAATTAAAGTCTCTTCTACATTTTCAGCTACTGGATTTAATTTGAGCCTTGAACTTTCCCTGATTTTCTTATTTTGTACATCACAATCGGGGAAATTGTTGACCTATCTCACCATTACTTCTCCAACAGTTCAGATATATGCAGCCATATTCATGGGCATGCCAAAAAACTATGTACAATAAGAGTGAAAATTCATTACATTCAACTAGACACTTTTTCAATATTTGAGCAACAATGCTATGTGTTATGGGAAAATTTAGACAGACTGCTGACACTGTCATTGGCACCAGAGGCTAGATTGTGTTTGCATAATAGAATTAAGCAAAGACTGGGCCATTTCTCCCAGAATAATTGCTGAGGAGTATGAACTTTCTTATCTAAACTTTGATGGGATATTACACCAGTTGCTGTTGTGATTAGGTACTGTACAATCTAAAATGCATCAACTCTTACTCTGCTGGCTCCAGTACATTAGACTAACCCTGAACTATGTTATTTATTGTGGAAGCAGCTGCAAAGTTTCTTTATGTTATGAAACAAGTCTTGGTCATCATTCTTGCCATGTTAAAAAGAGCCCAATCTAAGATGTACATCGGAAGTCAATAGTCAACTTATTCAGAAGCTGTCAGTCACCTAAGCTTAATTAAATATTTTCATTACATTGATTTGACACCACATATAATTACCTGCTTTTCTACAGCAGCCTTTCCGCCTTCCATTGTTGTGGATGTAAGTGCTTCATTCAAGCATTGCAGACTAAAAATAAATCATCAAGTTATATTCAAGCTCTACTAGAAAGGCAGATATTAAAATGTAGAGCAAAGAGGGACAGGAAAATGTACCTTGCTAGTTCAAGACGATCACAAAGTTTTTCCACATCTTCCATCATTTTAACACACTCTGCCTCATTATCAGAAAAGTAATTCCAGTTCTGTAAGCAGAAATAAATGTTTTCCCTTGAAAGTATAGGACAATTAAATCAAAAAAGTATCTCAAAACACTCATTCTTCCATTACTACTGTAACAGGCTGAATAGCCTTAAATAAACTGGATGTTTTTAATGTAACTGAAATTGGACTATAGGAGTGTACTTAATATTTTGCTTTTTAGTTGATAAATTGCCTTCATAGAAGCAACACTGATTTGCCTTTGCAGAGCAAGCTTCTCTTTATGTTGCCTCTCTCTCTATAAACACCCCTTTTCCTGCGGGATGACATGGCATCCATCCCTCTCCCTCCCCAGTGCTAGGTGGCCAGGGGAGAGAGCGTGGGGTCTGGTGAGAGTTTGGAATGGCCCCCATCCCTCCCAGCAGCCAGGAGGGGAGCGTGGGAACTGGCAAGGCCCCAGACTGGCCTGGCTCCCCATCTGTGGCTGGGGGGAGAGCATGGGGCCTGACATGGCTTCAGCTCTGCCCAATGGCTGGGGGAGGGGGAAAAAGCTGGGGATGCCGCTGCCTCAGCCTGGGACTTATTGAGCTGGCTACCCCTGGAGGCTGCGGAGAGGGAGCCAAGGCTGCCTACCCCCAGAGAGAGGGGGTTGGAGAGTGTATTGAGCAGGGGACACAGCCCCCTTGTAATTCTGTATTAAAAAAAAACTATAGTGATATTTATTTGTAAACGACAAGTGTTTCTGAGAAGTGGAGTGAAAACACTTACCTATGGATTTAACATCTACCCTCCATCTCGATTTAAGGATAAACATACATGAGTAACTTAGCATAAAAAGAAACGTTTAGGGCAGTGTGTGACATTTTCATGAATACACTCTATATCAGTTTTTCTTAAACTTTTTAAGACCAAGGAACACCAAACAATTTTTTTATGAGGAATACCAAGGATTTTTGTTGAGGGCGGGGGAGGAGGGCGGGAAATATTGAGCAAAAAAAGTCTCCTGCCCCTTTAAGGGCTGCCATTTTGAATTCTATTGTTCTCCGCGGCATACCAGTGTGCCACAGAACACAGTTTAAAACACACTGCTCTATATTGAGCTATAACAACATCTATACCTTGCATGTTGTTCTCAATTTTTGCCTTTCCTTCTTAATTGCTTTTTTCTGTATATCTTTTTCTTTTTTTGCCAGCAGTGCTTGTTGTCTAACTTCTTCCTCTTCCTTCTCCTTAGCCAACCGTGCTGCTTCCAATTCTGCTTGTCTTTGCTGCAATCAAGGGGGAAAAAATATCACATTTTAGTGGGTCTTCTGGTGTAAGATGCATAAGATGTGCTCGTTTAACAAGGTGAATAAAACTATCAATAGTTAAATGCTTGGAAGGCTGACCATTTAAGAAATAAACAAAAGGTGAATGTGCAGTCAGACACACACTGCTTGGCATTAATTACACAAATACTTCACTGGCACTGAAGATACCCATTTTCTAAGAGCTGGTCTACACTACATAGTTAGGTTGACATAAGGCATGTTAATCTAATTATTTCAGCATCTACACTAAAGCCTTTCTTCTCTGCCATACTACACCGCAGCCCCCTGCTTCTCTGGAAAGCTAAGCAGCCCGAGAAGCCCTGGCTTCTGCCCTCACTCAGAGCCAGGGCATCTCAGTGAGCCATGAAAATAGCAAGGCTACCTGGCTCTCAGTCCTTAGAAAAATCTAACAGTTCTCTAAGCATTTGTGCTGCTCTTCTGAAGAGCTATTGTTGGCAAATTGCAAAATAGGGTTTTAAAAATCATACCATTTGGATTAGTCTCTTATACTTCCCAACCTCTTCAATCACACTAAGATTCTAACAGCTGATCTCTCAAAGGTTGTTAGTATTAGCAAGTGCATGCTGCTGCTTATCTTCAAAGTGCTTTACAGATAACCACCAATCAGGCCCCAGAGCACTCCCATAAAATAAGTAATTATTTCAGTTTACAGATGGGGAAACTTAGCCACAAATGTTAACAGGAGTAGCCTGAGGCAATAAAGAAACTCTGCAGTGAACAGGGATTTGATTTTAGAAGGTCATGGTAGGGATGTTAAATTTAGTTTAATCAACTAATCGACTAATTGATGGAATTCCCATCAGTTAGTCAATAAGCGGGGGACAGGCAGCGGGGTTCGCCCCCGGCTCCGGGAGCTAACCCCCTGCGGCTCTCTGCCTTTTAAATGTTTTAAGAGATGGCAGGCTCTTAATACATTTAAAAGTCTGAAGCACAGTGCGGGGGACCTTGTGCAAGCTGAGACAGTTGATTCCCTGCTCACAATGGGTCCTCCCCCCCACCCCCCACTGAACTTCTGCTTTTTAAATGTATGAATAGCTGGCAGGCTCTTAATATGTTTAAAAAGCAGAGACACAGCGTCTGAGACTGGGTATGAGCCAGGAATCAACTGATTCCGGGTTCCCCGGTCCCCACTGTCCCTCTGTCTCTCCTGCCCCCTGAGGAGATGGTGCTGGGGGCAACTGGCTCCCCACAGCACTGGCTCCTGCTTCCCTGCTGTTGCTGCCTCTGATAGAGGCAGCAAGGGAGGGGTAGAAGCAACTAGTCAAGAAACTAGTTGATTATCAGATGAGCTTATCCTTATAAGATAGTTGACTAGTCACTTACATCCCTAGTTCCTGGCTGCCAATGATATTCTGTCCACTAAGGCGACATCTCATTCTCTCAATCTTAAAAAGGGTCACTGGTCCCTTAATCTAGCTGTGTCTTTTTGGCATTAGAACAAGGCTGATAATAGCAAGATTCAGGTTTCAGCGTAATTTTCAGTTTGTGCCCTCTATCTGGAACCTAAAGCAAGAGACCAGGTATATTTAAGTATCCAAGTTTATCAACCCGTGCAAACAATGTACAAACTTACTCTTTCTTTTTCTTCGTGTTCTTTTCGTTTTGCTTCTACTTTTGCTTTCTTCTCTGCTTCCTTCTTCGCCTTTTCTTCGTCCTTGAATTTTTTTATTCTAGGATCACAGCTGTATGCATTGTCTAATAGATTAAACAAAGCACTATGTCCATGAGAGTGTACACTTGGAACATTTTCAGTGCTAATTACGAAATGCTTCTTTTTAAAAAGACAGAATTTATACTCACCAACTAATGTCCTTATCCTGTTCATCTCTTCTTTTTTCCTCAGTGCTCTGGCTGCTCTATTCTGTTTCTCTATCCACCTCCTTTCATCGCGACTACAAATTGGAAGGCATGGTGTTAGTTCAGCTCTATCAATCACTGGTATTGTTAATGGTCTGTTCGGAACTCGTTACAAGTGCCAATTTGCAGATGTTTCAAATTTCAACTGTAGTAAAAGAATCTTAAAGCTTAGCCCACCAAAGGTCAAATTCAGACCCCAAACAATTACACAACAACTCAACCACACTAAACAGTCTAACACAAAGGCCAATTTGGTAACCAGGGCTCGATAATCATTGTAATCTACTCACCTGTGGCGAGTAGATTACAACCCAGAAGAGCCGGGTTCTGGCGATCTGTGCATGCACAGAACGCCGGCGAGCGGGGCTCGCCGCAGCTCAGTGAGCCCTGTTGGTAACCATTAGGGATGTTAAAATCTATGAATGTGTCTAGACTACAGGGGTTTGTCGACAAAACTATACCTGTGTCTACACTACCGCCGAGTTCAGTCGACAGCGGTAAACCTCATTCTACAAGGAATAACGCGTTTTGTCAACAGAGTTCTGCGTTATTGCATCTACATTGTCCTTTGTGTCTACACTCTCATGTCAACAAAGTGGCATGCTTTGTCGACGGAACTGGATGTAGTCTAGACACTCTTTGTCGACAGAAGCTTTGTCGACAGTATCTGTCGACAAAGCCTCTGTCAACAAAAGCCTGTAGTCTATATGTACCCTCTCAGTGGTAGTTGGGGGTGGCGGGGGAACCAGCCAGTGCACATGGGGATAGGGTTGCCAGGTGTCCAGTTTTGAACCGGACAGTCTGGTATTTGAGCTTTCTGTCTGGGAAACAAATTGAGAAAATACCAGACATATAAATGTCCAGCATTTTCTAAGTAAGTTAGTTTTATTATTATTATGAGTATCAGCAGGGCTTGACAAACCCCGGCGAGAGCTACTCACCAGCCCCGCATTGTGCATACACCAGACTGGCACTGCGCATGCGCGAAGCGCCGGTGAATGGGGCGCACGGAGCAACCGGCTGAAATCTACTTGCCACAGGCAAGTAGATTCAATGGTTTGTCGAGCCCTGAGTATCAGTATGTAGTTGTATACTGCGTGGCTGGTAGATGCGCTCGCACTGCGTGAGCGTGTCTACCACCCAGGCAGTTCGCAACTAGGTACTGATATTCCTAATAATAATAAACTTATCTAATTAGAAAATACCAGACACTTTATATGTCTGGTATTTTCTTAATTTTTTTCCTGGACAGAACCCTCAAATACCGGTCTTTCCAGTTCAAAACCGGACACTTGGCAACCCTATGAACTACCCGCAGAAATGAACTGGCAGTGAATGAAGCGTCTCAGGTTCCCTGGAGCAAATACATCTCAGAATACATGTGGCAGCATTTTGCACCCACTGACGTTTAGCTGAACTTCAATCCACCCTCAAGATACAACATGGCAAGACTCTTCATCCATGTAGCTAAAACAGGGGAACAAATACCCTGAGGGCCTATGCAGGCCCCTGCTTAGCAGGCTGGGGATCATGCTGAAACAGACTCTTCCCAGAAACAGTTAAAACCGGCCATCTCTTCCCCCCTCTCCCCCACACGTGATCTGAGATCAAGTGTGTCTGGTATTTTTTTGAAACTGTCTGGTAACCCCACGTGGGGAGCTGGCTTTTAAGCCAGCCTGCTCCCCATACTGCTGCCTCTGTATCAGAGGCAGCAGCGCGGGGGAAAGGAAGTACAGGCAAAAGCTGGTGCTTGCGGGAACTGGCTTAAAAGCCAGCTCCCTGCAAGCACCGGCACCTGCTTGCCCCCCTGCATGTAAATGTGTAACCACTGAACAATTCAGCAGTTATATGTTTACAAAAATAAACGTATTTTAACATCCCAAGTAACCATAGGACCTCTGTTCCTGGAGGTTAAGGAGAACAATTTTTCACCTCAGTGTAACTGCCTTTCATGTATTTGAAGACAGTCTTCTCTGCTCCAGACTAAACAAATCAATTGTTTCACTCCTTCCTTATAGATCATGTTTCTTAGACCTTTAATCTTTTGGCTATATTTTTTGGGGGGAGGGCAGGGAGAGAATCTCTTTTGGAGTTACGCCAATTTGTCTACGTATTTCCTGGAATGTGGCATCTAGAACTGGATAAATCTTATCAGCATGGAGTACGTCTCATGTCTTGTTTACAGCAGTCCTGCTAATGATGTTTGGTTGTTTTTAAACAGTTGACTCGTGTTTAATTTGTGATTCACTATAATTCCAGATTCCTTCCCACAGCACCCCTTCCTAGGCAGTCATTTCCCATTTTGCCTGTGAGTAATTGATTGTTCCTTCCTTAACTGCATTTGTTCTTTATCGAATTTCATCCTGTTTACTACAGACCATTTCTAGTTTCTCCAAATAATTTTGCATTTTAATCCAATCCTCCAGTGCACTGGCAACTCCTCCCAGCATGGTGTCATCTGAAAACTTTAAACATGTACTCTCTATGCCATTAACTAAACCTTTTATGCCATTATCTAAATCTTTTACAAAGATATTGAACAGAACCAGAGCCAGGGCTGATCCCAGTGGGACCCCACTTTATATGCTCTTACAACTGGACTATGAACCACTGATAACTACTCTATATGAACCATTTTCTAACCAGTTATGTATCTGGCACTGTAGTTCGGGTTCTATATCTGTCATGAGCTTGCAGAAGTAATAGATTGTGTGATGTTCCACAACCTCTGTGACTTCTGCAGCAGCTAGAGAAGCTGACTCCAAGGGCCAGGATGCCTGAGCAGCAGCTGGTGTGGCTGAGTCCAGGGACTGCCTTTGCAGTGGTCCCAGATTTAGTCAGGGATATTTATAGTTCCAGTCATGGATAGGCCACCAGCCGTGAATTCTTGTTTACTGCCTGTGACTTGTCCATATCTTTTACTAAAAATACCCATGATGAAATAATAGCTTTAATTATAGTAGCTCCAGCTAGTCTATCTTTCCTTAATTTATAAGAAGGTCATATGAGACAGTATCAAAAACCTTATTAAATTCAAGATATACCACGTCTACTGTTCCACCCCATCAACAAGGCTTGTCACCATGTCAAAGAAAACTATTAGGTTGGTTTGACGTGATTTGCTCTTGACAAATCCATGTTGACTGTTACTTATTTTATATTCTAGGTGTTTGTAAACAGCTTGTTTGATTACCTGGTCCATTATTTTACTGGCTGAGATTCTGTGCTGTGGCTCTCTATGAACACACCAAAGAACTTGGAGAGCAAGGAAAAGAGGGGACCAAAGCAGCTCTAATTCACCTTTACATATTCCTTATTGTAGGCTATTCTAGGAGCTGGAGAGGCCCTAGACTAATTCAAACAGCTCTGGTGGCCTAATTTCTGGGAGCTTCTTGGGACTAACCTATGGGCCACAGGTCTGCCTAGAATCTTTGCAGCACTGCATCCTGTGATCATACCTCAACAAACCCTCCCACTTGCCAGCATGCCCTCATACCAGGGCTTATAGCTATGGTGTTCAACATGCTAGCCACTAGACACATGTGGCTATTTGACCAGGTCAGTGTGGCTAATTTGCTTTAGCAGAAGGCACTATAGTGGCTACTGCTTCAGAACTGGCTGGACACCATGTGCTTACAGGAGACAGCTGTAAGGGTATCTTCTACAGCAGTGGGCTCCAACCTTTTTAACCACAAGATCACTTTTTCAATTTAAGTTCAATGTAAGATCTACCTCAAACCCAAATCCCTTTTTCCCCCTTTCTTCCTGCCCCTTTTCTGAGGCCCTGCCTCTGCTCCACCTCTTCTCCTAGGCCTCACCTACTCAGTCCATCCCCTTTCCTCCCCCATCCTCACCCACTTTCACCAAGCTGGGATAGAGGGTTGGGGTGCTCAAGCTCTGGTCTTGGGCCAAAGGGTTCAGTGTGCGGGAGGGGCTCTAGGCTTAGCACAGGATGGTAAATTGGGGTCAAGGAGGGGTTTCAGGGTGCAAGCTCTGAGAAGGGGTTTGGGTGCAGGGGGATAGGAGGTTGGGTGCAGGAGGAGATTCAGGGCTGGAACAGGGATTCAGGAAACAGGCTTTGGTTGGGCACCATTTAACTGAGGTGGCTTCTGGGTGGTGGAGCAGTGGGGTTAAGGCAGGCTTAATACCACCCTGGTCCAATTCTGCTTTTGAGCTGTGTTGAGATCAGAGCTTGTAATTATGCAAATGTACAAGAAAAGCACTTGGTACCTGTACAGAATCACCATTGGAGGATCTCAGAGCACTTCATAAACACACCTCTCAGGTACACAATAATTATTCTCATTTTACCAATGGGACACAGAAGCACAAAGTATGACTTGTCCAAGGTTATACTGCTAGTCAGTTGCAGAGCCAAGAATAAAACTCAGAACTTAGCACTTCTAGTCCTATACTTTAACAGCTGGACTAGCTTTCCTCCTCTGATTTACAGCCCAATTACAAGGTGAGAAATCTCGTTGAATTAATTCATTAGTCTCTTCTCAAAGACTTTTTACTTACATACCATTCTGCTTTTTCTTTTTCTTCTTCATCTAAATAAGAAAATTCTCTCCAAGAATCAAAATTATACCTATAGTAAATGCAAAAAAAAAAAAAAAAGTGAGAGAGACAAGTTCTGATAAAACAAAAGGGATAGCAAAACCATCTGAAAAATGTTTGCATTTTTAATGTCAGGTTCTAATATGCAGTTAGACCATTAGCAAATCAGACTAGCATTGTTGCATTCAGTCAACTTGCCAAAAATCAAAATCAAAATATTTGTAAATATTACAGAAATAAATGTTGTCAGGCCATTTGCCAATCACTGTATTTAAATTTGCGGAAATGTATTTTAGCTCTATTTATTTAGATGCAAGAGACCCTCTGAGTTAACTAGCATCTGTGGGTTTTGTAACCAATCGGACACGACCTCCCCTCTCTCCTCTTCACTGGTGTCTAGCTGACCTGACATACTTCTCTGCTTTTCCCTTCTTCCCTAACCTTGGCTTTCTTAGTTATAATTTGTTAAGCTTTTTATCATGCCTTTGGTATGTTATCTGTAGTACAATGCAATTTCTTGTATTCAAGGACACGAGGCCCCACTTTGTTTATGAATATGTATGTAACCTGTGGAACGTGTGTGAGGTGTGAATGAGAAATACCCAATCAAAAAGGCAGTTTAGGATCAGTGACCTTTTAAGGCAGACAAAGACCATGCAAGCAGATACATTAACTGAGAAGCGGCCAGAAAAATCTCTCCCCCTTTCTTGGACAAAATGTAACATCACAGCAGAAACCTGGGACTGGCCCAGGGAAAGTAAAGGCACAAAGATGACTGTGTATAAACTGAATGGTTCTACCATGGTTTTTTTTAAGTGCCAATTTTATTTCAAATTAGATTACAGTGTGTATGTGGCAAACTGCTGAACGAGTCCAAAGCTATTAATCAATCCCTACTGCAAATCTGACTCAGCATTACTTATTGAAATCATTATTAGAGAGAGAGAGAGAGAGAGTGTGTGTGTGAGAGAGACAAGACAACTTTCCCTCCACAAGCGCAGGACAGAGTGGCCAAGAGTAATTCATAAACTGGATTTTCTAGAAATGGAATAGTAGCTTCATCTCCATAGTCATTCAGCCCCTGGCCATTCTGGTCTGATTGCCAACAAGGGTGCCAACTGTGTGATGGTTTTTATGTGGAAGAAACACTAACTAGGAACCTAGATCAAAACCAATTCATTACATACAGGGCACCAAAGACCTAATGAGACACTTTAGTCCACTGTCAGCCAGTGTTCCTTGGGCAGGCTGAATTTTTTTGTGGGCGGGCTGAATTTTCTCATGTGCAACACCAATACTGAGGTAGCATGTGGATGTGCGCCACCAATACAAACAAAATACACACACGCATGTACGAATACATTTTAAGCAGTCCATATGTGTGGATGAATATATATTAAAACAAGACATTGGTGTTTAGCTGCTGTGAGGTACTCTTAGTGACTACAAAAAGTGGTGTACGAAGGTAGGGAATTAGCCTTCTTCCACTCAAGGAAGAGTAGGAGCCCCAGAACAAATTAACACATGACTTGGGGTTTGTAAACAGACACGTTTCAAATAGCTTGCAAATAAGGTTTCATCTTACAAAACTAACATTATACCTAGTGCTTGCTACTTCTGACTCATAAGAGCTAGAACTCTACTACATAGCAAAGATCTGGCCTTAATGCACTTCAATTTACGGTGTATTAGTTAGTAACATAGGATTTTAAAAAATATCAATAAGTTCAGAGTTTTAGATATCTGCAACATTAAAAAAAATCTGTTAAAATAATCTTTTTCCTTCTTATCTTAAGCCATTAACACCTATGTAAACTTTGTTTGAAATATAATCATGCAAATGTCCTCCTGGCACCACCATCCCCATGCAGCCTTGCTTTCCCCACCTCCCTCCAACTCAGCCAGAGAAGACTGCAGCAAGTGAATCAGGACACCCCAAACAAATTGCCCCCTGCCTCCACCTCACTACACAGATGCCAGTACCCACCCATTCCCTCTTTCCCCTACCTATCCCATTCAATCAGCCTCATACCTCTCCCTTCCCAGCCCAAGAGGGTTGAAGAGACTGCTGGGTTTCTGTCTCTCTCTCTCTGCTTGGGCAGACAGGACTCTCCAAACTCTCCTTCCCTCTAACTTCCCCCAAGCCAATTCATCACTCACTCACTAACTCCCCCCAGCAATTTATTCCCTGCTTATCTTGGCTGCTTATCTGCTCTGGGAGCTCTTCAGTTCAAGTAGCACAGATCCGCTTAGCTGCTCTTACAGATGCTGACCCCTTCCAATCAGCTGAGCTCCCTGCTTGCATGGGAGCTTTGAAAGGAGCTCTGAGTGGGGTTCAGAGAATAGCTGTGCAGTCACACAGCTTAGAGGAAACTTAGCTGTCATCCCAGACGAGACTTCAATCTTTAACCAGGGATAAACAGCTCCACAAACCTCTTAACAGCCAATTTTTAAAGTGACAGTAGTCTATCTATAAACCGAAGTGTTAACTTACTTACCAGAATGAATAAAATGCATCCACATCTTCAAATGAAGAGTTCATGTCTCCCAGTTTAGGAACATTTTTCTTATTTGACCATCTGTAACAATGAATTAAACCTTGTTTAAAATGAAAGTTGAATAAAACTCATATAGAAGTAAACTCAGTCTAGTTTCCTATTTGCTAGTTAACTTTTTAGAATATGCATAGTGATCGTGTCACAGTGCAACAGCAACCTTGGAGAGACATGCAACTGATTAGTAAGCCAATAGAAAAATCAGCAGCTGTGCTCAAATTCTGGGCAAAAGGGAAGAGTCTCTTTCTCCTGAGAGAATGAGGAGAAAAAGCACTTGTTACAATCACCAGCATGAATGCATTCAAATAATAATACAACATTCTGAGACCTACTTGTTAAAAATATTCGGACCAATATGTTATGCAAAAAAAGAGAAGATAATGTGGCAGAGAACAGAACTCTTTACCAAGTATCTTAAAGGTAATGAACTCGATTGCATGGTTCTGTTAGTTCAGATTATATTAAAAGAAGGCAATGCCTTAAAATAATTTTGAATCTGCTATATTTAACTTTTGAGAGAGACAAAGTGAGTGAGGCAATTTCTGTTTTATTGGACCAATTTCTGTTGTGAAACTCTGATGCTTGAAAACTTCTATATTTCACAGATAGAAGCTGATCCAATAAAAGTCATTACCTCACACACCTTGTCTCTCTTCTATTCTGAGGCGAGCATGGCTACAACACTGTAAACAACATTTTACTTTTGATACATATTGTAATTCCATGCAATATATTTGGGAATCACAATACATAGAGGCTGTGTCTAGACTGGCCAGTTTTTCCGGAAAATCAGCCACTTTTCTGGAAAAACTTGCCAGCTGTCTACACTGGCTGCTTGAATTGTCGCAAAAGCACTGACTTCCCACTGTAAGAAATCAGTGCTTTTTGCGGAAATACTATGCTGCTCCCGTTCAGGCAAAAGTCCCTTTTGCACAAAAGTTTTGCGCAAAAGGGCCAGTGTAGACATCTGAGATTTGTTTTCTGCAAAAAAACCCCGATCGCGAAAATAGCGATCGGGGCTTTTTTGCGGAAAAGAGCGTCTAGATTAGCACGGATGCTTTTCCGCAAAAGCACTTTTTGCGGAAAAGCATCCGTGGCCAATCTAGATGCTCTTTTCCGAAAATGCTTTTAACGGAAAACTTTTCTGTTAAAAGCATTTCCGGAAAATCATGCCAGTCTAGACGTAGCCTAAATGTATCACTGTTGGCCAGGGCTTGTATGCAATTTCAGAGACAACTCCTCTAAGAATGAAAAACAGCGGGGTCTGATTAAGATGAATCACTCAGGTCATAAACACTTCAAGAGAGGTACAACTCCCCTAGGAGGATGGCATTTACTGGTTTAAATTGAGTTTTCCAGAGATGAACAGACTAAGAAAGGGCATTTGATAGAAAAAGGCTATGTTTACACTGACTCGGGGTTTTTTTTTCCTAATCTAAACACAATAATACCTTATGTTCAAGAGGGGACCCAACCTTTATGGAAGTGTTGAAAGGACTTTGGCCTATGAAGGCCCCAAAAGACTGATGGGTGACTCTTGCTATGTTTAAATATATTTATGGGTTTTATATATTTTCTCTAGAATGCCTTTACCATAAGAATAAATGTGCTTACTCAGAAAGAGCTCTATGGTATCTTGTAACTGCCCTCAGAAAGAAGAGACAAGAAAAGCACAAGTGCTGGCTCTCAAGATTGGTTTGCTGGGGAATATCTGTATAAAGAAGGGAGCTCTTCAGATGTAAAATCCTGATCAAAAAGTAGAGAGAAAGGGGTCTCTGTCTAAGAAGTGACAGCTAGAAGACAGAAACCTTAAGTTGGAGCCCTTGAAGAAACCACAGAGGAGGAATACAAGAGCCATTATACCCCCTTGCTAAATTATTATGTTTCCTAGCCACACTTAAAATGTAACCCACTGGTTACAAACATAATGCCATATGAAACTGCAAATAGCCGAGTCCCATGCAACGTGATGTGAGCCCGAATGATTGTGATATAACTTACCTGGCATTCCTTTCAAAAACAGGTGAAAACACTTCAAAGAAATTTTCCTTTGCTTCACTTTTCGAAGGTACAGAGTTATCAAAAGTAGGATCTATGCTGTTAAATGCTCGTCTCTTCACAGGATCAGACAAAATTTCATAAGCTGGAGAAAAAAGTTAAAGGCCATAATACTCTGTGCTGAAGATGAATGTGCATACTGGAGCTTCTTGGAGGAAATGTTATAAACAAAATTCTAAATACTTTTAAAAAAATCCACCATACTTTTGACCTCTGTGTTTCCAACAATTTTTGTTATTGTGACTGTAAGAACTTTGTTGTTAACTCCTGTAAAAGGTGAGTAAGTAAAGCACTGAAGAAGAGGGAAAAGCTTATAAAAAAAGAGACAACAAATTTAACTCAAAGTTCAGCTATAAATATCAAACCAAATTATATGTTAATGAATTGTGTAATGGTAAATTCAGTCCATTTCACTGGGAGTTTTGGTGAAACTCCTTTAGACTTCAATTCTGCAATTACATCCATGTAGGTGGCCCCTTGTGCCCACGTGACACATGGACTTCCCTAGAGTACTTATATCTTCTGCTGCAAGTGTGCCATTGGAACTTCAAAACAGAGCATTAAGCACTATTTAAAAGGGCAATTAATATCTGGGGGTCATTCACTTTGTAGCTTGTATAGATAGGGGCTTGGAACATCCTGCTATTCTACCCTAAAACTTCCCTGCATGCCATTTTCTGATCCCCCTCCATTTAAGGGACTCCCTGCAACTGCCTCACACTTTCCTTATGCCTGGGACCATATGTTCCTCTCCCCTCATACCACCACTGTGTCAAGGTGTCTGTGTTATCCCCATTTCCCTCATTCTTGCAACCCACATTGTCTTCCTCACATCAGGGTCTGTACCCCCCACTCCTGCTTCCTTCGTCCACCCATCTCTCTTCCCCTTCTCCACATCCATCAGCCCAGTTCCCCTCATCCTGGATGTTGCTGGACCAGAGAGCCCCAGCTGCAGAGGTTGCCAGAAGTTGACAGCAGAGCCCACAGGGCAGGCCAGCAGCCAGAAGTGGAGCCCTGTCTGTGGGCTGAGGGCTGCACTGGCCGGGGCTGGCGGCCACGAAGGGAGCTCCAGGAGAGCCCAGAGGTCTGACCTCCCCTGATCCAGCAAATCCCTTGTTTGGAACCGCTTAGGTCCCAAAAATACTGGGCCAGAGAGGTCTATCTTGTACTGAGTTCTCCTCTTTAAATTACTCTATTTAGGAAATACATGGCTACTTTTATTGGTTCATGTTAGTATATACAGCTTTAAGAATCTACTCTAACTGACCTCTCCTATCTCTTGACATGGATGTTCAGCAATCAGCTGTGAAATAAGAGGAGCTCTTCTAGAATTGTTTCCAACAGAATAAAAGTTATTTTATTTTGTTCTACTTCTTAAATCTTGATAAAACGATAAATTTACTTTTTTTATGGTTTTATTTAATCTGTCAAAGAGTAAGAACTATAATTTAAGCATAGTAAAAATAACCACTCTTATATTTTCCTCCAAATGTCTTACCTTTAGTTATGCAAGTAAAATAGTCATTGTCACCTTCACCTATCTGCTCTCCTGCAGCTTTCCGCTTGTCTGGGTGATGTTTCAAAACCATGGCTTTATCTAGCAACATATAAGTTGAGTTTAGATATGTTACACCACCTACACGTTTCACTTTGTAATTTAGAAAATAAAACAGCATGGTCTGCATTTCTTTATCCAGATTTTTTTTTAGTATCAGGAAGGAAATCAAAATGAGTAAATAGACCCTTCTGAAAGTAATAATATCACTGAAAATTATAATCAGTGTCAGTTTGGGGTGTTTTATTTTAGCATTCATCCTATGCCAAGACACAAAATAATCGTAACTACATAACTCTCTTTACTCCTTTCTTTTCAATCATTTGGAACCAGCACCACTTACCCTGCAACCACCAACATTACTAACACCTGGCATCTTCAAAACAACTGTAGAGCTAATCTGCAATGAGCTCTGCAGGGAATAGAGGTCTATATGGAGTAACTTGCAGGACTAGAGTCCTTAATGACTACAGAGTAGGGATGTTAAGAGGTGGGTAACTGACTAACCGTGTAGTTGATACAATATGTGTTGACCACACGATTAGTCAATAAGGTGCTCTGTCCTGGCTGTGTAGACACTTAATTCGAAATAGGAGGCCTCCATTCCATCCCAGGGAGCCCTCGTGGCCACTCTGGGCACAACCAGGAAAACTTACTCTGCTCTCCCCCAGCCCCAGAGTCATTAAAGGGGTAGACTCTGCCATAGTGCCTGTGCCAGCTCCAAGCCTGCTGGCCCAGAGCCAGCAGTGGCCTCCAGGACCCCTGACCCAGTGGCCCCAAAACATGACTCAGCAAGCCACTGGCAGCCAGCCCTCCACTGCTCCCCAAGAGCCGGC